TTTTTTTCTGTAGGATGACGTATTCTACAAGCAATTCTCTTTCTTTAAACAAAAAATGCCCTCATAGCCTTTCTCACCAACAACACATTCTCAGGCTTGCAACCATTTTCCAAATTTGTTAATTTCCTTGATTTACATTAAAAAAATAAGTTAAAACTCCAAATATTTAGAAGGTATTTTCTAAATAAAATCATATCAAATTTCAAACACAATTGCTTGAAGTAGTTTTTAATCATTTCTCACATATATCCAATTCATGGAAACATTTTTTTAAACAAACCTGAATTGCCTTTTTAACATAATTTAAGAGGCTAAGACACATTTACTCATTTACCTTTCCCCAATTGATACTTAGTAACCTTTCATGACCAGAAGGCACAAAAATAAGTACATGCTTACAATTTAAAATGTTTCCTAAATCAACTCTAGCTGGAAGAGTGGCAGCAAGCTCAGGTCTGCTACAAGGCCATTCAGTCTCAAGGAACATTGAGGACAAGCAGTGTTACTGTAAACAGCACATTTTAGAGCTGTTATTACCAGTTGTTAGATTCGCACTGCACCTGTAGAACCAAGTAATTTTAACATGATTAACATAAAGACAGATAACTGAATGACACACAAAAATACATCAGGGACACGACGATAGTTAATAGATGGATAAAACAGACACTAATCTAGTGGCCATCAATAACTAGAACCAGGAAAAAACAGACCAGAGGGCAACATCTTGCCAGTGCCTTGCATTTGGGAAGAAGTGCTGTCCTCCCCAAATCTGCCCTTACAAGTTTTCCAGGACCTAGGGAGAGCTCTGTACTGCAGGTGACTCTAGATGGCGTTGGTCTCCCTGGACTCCAACTTGCTTCTATTGGGGCCTTCAGATACACCAGGGCTGGGAGGAATCAAGGGGAAGAGGCAGATATTTCTTCAACCTAAAAACAGGGCTATTCGTGGAGTGCAGTTCGATCTTGGGGGATCAGAAAGTCTGGGGGCAAGGAGGGAAAGGAGCCCTCTGTAGTGTGGTGGCTGCAGAGAGTACCTGAGCCGGGTCAGACCCAATGCTTGGGACTCGGCCCGTGGACACTGCAAGTCCTGAGCTTTTGGGAGGTCGGTGTGCCAAGTAGCATCAGTCTCTGCCTGCCGGCCACCTGGTGGCAAGCCGGCCACCTGGGTTTTTAGGTATGTAATTGCTGCCTAAAGACATCAATGGATAAGGCCAATGTGAGAGTAGATGATCGTATGTGACTCCCAGCAAGGAGGTCACCGAACTTGTTGGCAAGTGTGGGGACTGAGACCTGGCCATTCAGAGAAGAGAGTTCATATGATCTGTTTGGGTCAGATTGATTCACTAGCCCACATGGGAGCCCTGAGATGGGCTGTTAGCATAGAACATCGCTGACTGACACATGGCAGTCCACACGAAAGCTATGGCTGAAGGCCTGTCTGGCAGGGTTGGATCCCAGTACCTGAGTGTCGGAACAGGGGTGAGTCACATTAGGAAGGGTCATGACACCAACCAGCATGTGAAAGAACCAGGTCTGGGAGCAGATTCTGTGTGTGTGTGGCGGGGGGGGTGGGGTGGGGGGTGGGGGGTGGGGGGGGGAGAAATGGGCTCAACCCTGTGGAAATACAAGTCCCACTGGTTAGCTTAAGAGTTAGGATGGTGATGGGCTGACCTAGGAACAACTATGGAACCCACTGACACTTACAGGTGCTGGGACTGGTAACAGCCTGGGCAAGTTCAGGCTGCAGCACCTGCACGTGCATACAAAAACACAGTGTGGGGTGGGGTGGGGTGGGCCGCAAGTCACCAGCTCATACAAAGGCCAAGATAGAGGTGCAGGCTCTGCTGGGCAAGGGCCTAACACCCACTGGCATGTGTGAGATTGGGGTGTGGGAATGGGCTGAATAGGGGAACTTGGGAAACTCCCTAGTGGGTCATAACTGCTGCTGGTAAGCATGTGGTTCAGGCCTGGGGGTCAGGCAGGATGGGCAAGATAGCTTCAACTATTTGCTAATGTGTGGATTGGTTTTAGAAGGGTGGGGGGACTGGACAGGACCAAATCTTAGCTTACTGGTAAGTGCAGAAACCAGGCTGGAGTGCAGGTCATGGCAGTCTAAGTTGTCATATCTACTGGTTTGCATAAGCCAGGGATGGGAGCAGACTGAGCAGGGCCAGGTTCTAGCATCTGTCAGAGAGACTTGGGACTGGGGCCATGCCAGATCTGACCAGACTACAGCATCCAAAGGCAAAAGAAAAGTGAGGGACTCTGCCAAGCTGGTTAGAGCAACCACTGGTATGTGCAAGATGTGTGGCTGCAAATAGGCCTGGCTGCAGAGCCAAGAGGACACCTTGGCTAGGTTGTGCTTCCTACTCGTGAGTGCAAGGGCCAGAGTGGAAGCTTCTATCTTGTCTGGATATGGCTGCAGTGCCCCTCGGCACAAGTATGGACTAGCTCTGGGGTGCGCCAGACCAAACTACAGCACCCACTGGTGCACATAAGAATCAGGGTGAGTGCAGGACAGGCTGGGCTAAGTCTCTGCCCCTGCTGAGTCATGTGTGAGCTGTGTCTGGGTTTGGATCCAGGCTTGGCTGGTTGTAACACCCAACAGTAAAAACAAGAATGAGTGAAGGCCAGTCAAGAAAGGCCACTGTCCCTGCTAGAACAGGAGGCAGACTAAGTAGGGCTGGCCCATGGACCCACCAGTGTGCATGAGATCTTGCACTGGGAGAGGTTTTGATGGAAGAGCTTGGGGAACTCCTCTGTTTGGACACAGTCCCTGATGGTGAGCGCAAGAACCATGATAGGAAGCAGCTTAGACCAGGCCAGGTAATGGTACCCACCAGCATACATTTGGCTCAGATCGGGGGTGAACTAGGCTGGGCCAGTTCATATTACCTGCTAGTGAATCTGAATGCCAGAATGGAGTGTGGGTCGGGCAACACACAATAGTATGCATGAGGGCTTGGACTGGGTGTTGGCTGGGCTGGGCTAGGCTTTAGCCCCCACCAACCTGAGCTGGAACTGGGAGTGGCCTGGGCTGGGCCAGGTTACAGCACCCATTGACAAAAGCTGAGGTGAGGCAGGCTATGCCAGACCAGGCCACGGCGCCCAACCAGCACATGCAAGACTCGGGGGAGAAAGGGTAAAGCTGGTAGGGAAAATGTGGAGGGCTCCACTGCTGGAACACCACTTCCACTGGAGAGCATGAGTTGAGATGAGGGTAGACCACAACCGGGCAGAGCTACAACACCTGTGGGGCTCATGTGAGCTAGATCAGGGAAAAGCCAGGCTTGATTCACGGCTCCTACTGGTGCAAGCATAGATCAGTGGGTGAGGGTTGGTTGGGCTTTGCTACAGCATCAGCTGGCAGATGCTGGCACTGGGAGCTAATTCTGTCAAGCTAAACTGCAGACCGGCTGGAAAGTGCATGATGTGGGAGTGGGCCCAGTAAGGGCACCTCCCTTTTGGGTTACCACTCCCTCTGGAGAGCATGAAAACTAGGACTGGGGCAGACCTGGCTGGACAGAACAGCACCCACCAGCATGTGCGTGGGCTAGACAGTGGGTCTGGTTGGGTTGAACTAGGCTTTGATGCCCATTGACATGTAGGAGGGCTGAATGGGATGTGGGACAGACTGGACCAGTCTGCTGTACATACTGGCATGTATGGGAACCAGGGCAGGAGGCAGGCCTGGTGGGGGTAATTGGGAGTCACCCCAACTGGACTGCAGCTCCCACTGGTTTGCATGAGGGCTGAATGTGTGGTGGGCAGGATCAGGGTGGATTGCAACACCCATTGTTTCATGTGAAAGCTAAGGCTGGAAATAGAATTGACCCAGCAATTGCAATTACCAGCATATGCATAAGCTGATTCGGTGACAGACTCTGCTGGACTCTACACTGGCATGCATACACAGGAATCAGGCCTGGAATCACTTCAAAGTTTCTTTGGGGATTCCTCCAACTGAACTGCTGATCTCAGAACCCCAACCATGAAGAGAAGTGCAGGTTCCATTGAATCTGACCATGGAGTGCAAATGTCAAAGCTGAGCCTCCTCAGAAGTTCAGATGGAACAGTGGACAGCATAGCCAGGTGCACATGGAGGATACCACAGTCCATCGGAACCTGCAGAGGACACTTGGTACTACAACAGGATGGAAGACAAAATAAATTGATATTTTCCCCAGCCATGTGTTAGGAGTGAAAAATCTGGGCTAACGGAGACTCAAAAGTAGACTGTGTCTGCCAGCGAATTCTGGAGATTGCATTGTGCTTGGAATGGCAAGATTGGCAGCAATTCAGAACTGTTGGACTGTCAAAATCACTTGAGCAAGGACTCTCAGAGTATGCTGCACATCGGGGACCTGGAGTGGGTGGGACACTGGGGGGATCAACACCCCTACCAGAATGCAGCCTCAGCAGCACATTTACAGGGCTTCCATAGCGGCAGTTTACAACAGCTTGTTGTGGCTGGATAGCCGGTGTTCATCTCTTCTCTGGTCCAGTAGTTAAGATAACCAGACTCAGGCCTTAGAGCCACCTGGGTCTTGATTCCTGGGTACTAAGAATTATCTGTGCTGAAGGTCATAGAGGAGGTTCGGCCTTATGAGCTCACAGTCTGTTTCATAGCCAAGCAAACAAAACAGAAGTTGCAAAAGCAAAAGTATTGCAGTTAGCAATGAATATTGTTTACTCCATTTTGATTAACTCTACAGAAGCCTTTTACTTCTTTTTCCAGAGAGTTAATACAAAAACAACACAGAAATCAGGAGAGATCAAAAACCCATATGTACAGACCCAGGCAAGCCACAGAGCGCTGTCTCCTTGGGGTGACTGGGACTCTTGGGAGCCAAGGAGCTGACTTCACACCCAGGCCAGCCCAGGCCAGCCCAGGCCAGCCCAGCCACCTGGAGGACATACCTAATGGCAGAGAGGGTGCAGGCCATGCCTCAGTCTGAGTCGCAGACCTCTTGCTCAGTGGTGGTGTCACTGCAGAGGTTAGACAGTCCAGGGTTCCTGACCTCTCAGCCTCTCGCAGATGAGCTCTGCCAAGGTCCTCCAGATGCACCTTGTCAGCTGCTTAAGGTACCAGTCAGGCTTCCAGGGAGCGAGGTTGGCTGGGTTCACTTCCTCCATGATTGGCTCGATCGGGGGTACCCTCCTGCTCTCCAGGTCCTCATCCTCTGGGACATAACTCTGCAGCCCGAGTTCCCCGGGATTCTCCTCTTCCTCCACTCTGAGCCGCTTGGTCTTGGGTTCCTCCTCTTCCTTGTCCTTGGGTCCGGCTTTCCCCTGTAGGGCCCTCAGCCTTTTCTTTTGCTGCAGAGCCTCCTCTTTGAGCTGGCCCACACCGGCCGCTGCCACCTCAGCCATCTTCCCTGTTCAGGCCTCGCTTGTTCGCTGTCTGGCAGAGATGGACTGGTGCCCGCAGCCAATATTCCCATGTGTGGATTACTGACTGATGGTCGGTAACTGAAGTTTATTAGCAGCATCAGGCTTTTATAGACTGAGAGTCACATCAGATAAGGGAGGAGGCTTTGAGGAGTTTACATATCAACAACAGGGAGTTGATGAGATTATGGGAGCTCCCATAAGCCTGTCTATGGAACCCATCAATTTGTTTTCACACCCTTGCCTTTAGTAGCTCTTCGTTTTGTATACCAATCTATTGTCCTATTATAGATATCCAATCAGTTGTCCTCCTACAATGATAGCCAATCAATTGTCCTCTTGTACCAGTGTGCCTATTCTATTTTTCAAATTTATTTATTATTTTTATTGGAAATTCAGATATACAGAGAGAGGGAGACAAAGAGAAATATTTTCCAATTGATGGCTCACTCCCCAAGTGGCCGCAACAGCTGGAGCTGAGCCAGTCAAAGTCAGGAGCCAGGAGTTTCTTCCAGCCCTCCCATGCAGATGCAAGATTCCAAGGCTTTAGGCTGTCCTGACTGCCTTCCCAAACCACAAGCAGGAAGCTGGAAAGGAAGTGGAGCATCCGGACAAGGAACCAGTGCCCATATGGGATTCCCTGTCACGCCACCTCCAGTGGAGCCTGTGTGAGAAATCACCGGGCTGAGGCGGAAGCTTCAAGGAAGGATGCCTCCTGGATTCGGCTGCATCTCTAGTGGTCTTGGCGTTCCTGGCTATATTCTCTTTGCTCTTATCTTTATGGCTGGAATAATACTATTTTATGTGCGGCAAAGGCTCAATGTTCCTTTATAGTTCTATGAAGCCTTCTGACAGGAGACTGGACAAGAATAGCAAGCAGTATAGGATAAAAACTATCAAGTCACTAGCTTTAATAAACCTACTTGGGAATATTTTTGAGAATTCCTAAAAAGAAGATTATAGTAGAAATCTATAGCTTAAAAAGCCATACAGAAAGAAAAACTAGAAATATAGGCAAGTTAATATTAAAACCAGTGTAAGGCACAAAACACAATGAGAACTAACTGCTTAATGATTAAAACTGCAACTGGTGCCAAACTGCGTCCACAAGAAATAGCAACCACAGTCGGTCACCAGGCTATTAGAGAACAATCTTTTCTCAACAGACCTGCTTACCTCCCTGGAATAATTGTGTGTAGAAATGTAACCACATGTATAAACAAAGAAAATGTCCCTTTGCAACAATCTATTGTATATAAGCTGATGCCTTACTTTTGCAAAATGCACTCAGATACAACTTCCTTGAGTTGTCGTGTCTGTTTGTCACTAGCCGAATCCTTGCCCACAGTTCCCGGGGTCCTGTTCCCATCGGACTGATTGCTCCCGGCTGAGCTGGTCCATAGCAATTCCCATGTGTGTAATGCAAGTACTTTAGCCACTAGATTACTGTACAAGGCACTCCCCCTTCCCTTTTTTTCCAAGGTATATGTTGGAGGAAGATGCCCAACAGACAGGGTCTGGGGACCTGCACCTGAGCATGTGTGGGACCTGGGCAGGCAGGCAAGGCCCCAGGCTGGCATGGCACACTGCCAGAAGACCGGGTTTGGGGAACTGCACATTTGTAGGCATGGGGGCTGTGGATGCTCAGGGAAGTGGCTCTGGAGATATGTGGGAGGGAGAGTTGCTGAGGGAGGATGTGAGAGGTAAGGAGTGGATTCTGTGGGACTTCCACCAACTAGGCTATTGCACTTGTAGGTAAAAGAGGGGGCTGAGCCTACATGAGTTAGAAAAAGGACACCAGAAGACTTGTTAGGGCCCAACCAATATACCCACCCACGTGGGACACCCGAGCTGGGCTAAGTTGGTATCTAGTACTGCCTACTGAGTCTAGAAACAGATTCTGTGGGGGAACCTTGGGCTCACCCCTGAGACTGCCATGCCAGTTGCTTGAAGGCTGGGGGTGGTAACAGGCTGAGATAGGCATGACCATAAAACACACCGACACTCATGAGTACTGGGGATAGAAACAGACCGGGCTAGTCCAAGCCGCAGCACCTGCAGGCACACCCAAGAATTGGGTGTAGGGCAGACTAGGCTGCAACATCCACCAGCTCACACAAAGGCTGAGACTAAGGGGTCAGACTATGCTGGATAAGGACCTAGAATCCACTGGCATGGATGGGATCTGAGTCTGGAAGTGGGCCTGGTGGGGGGACTTGGGGAGCTCCCCTGGTGGACCATTGTTCCCATTGCTGAGCATGTTAAGTCAGGGCTGAGTGTTGGACAGGCTGGGCAAGGCTGCTCCATATGTCGGCTGGTATGGGTTTGCTCTGGGAAGTCAACTGGGCAGGGGTGGGTCAAATCATAGCACACTGGCAAGCACAGGAGCCAGGAAGGGATGTGACTATGCCAGGCTAGGCTAGGCTATCACACCTACCAGTTTACATGAAAGTCAGGGATGGGGGCAGACTGGGCAGGGCTAGGCTGCAGCACAAACCAGCAAGAGTTAGGACTGGAGGCAGACCAGACAAGGCCAAGTCTGCAGCATTTGATGGCAAAGGCCAGACTGGGGAAAGAGTTGTGCTAGGCTGGGTTGGAACTACCAGTACATGCATGATCTGTGGCTGGCAGCAGGCCTGGTTGAGGAGCTAAGGGGACACCTTGGTTGGACTGTGGTTCTCACTGGTGAGCACAAGAGCTGGAATGAGGGCAGTAAATTGGGCTGCACATGGCTGCAGCATCCCTCAGCACAGGTATGGACTGGATCTGGGGTGTGCCAGACTGGGCTGGACTCCAGCACCTGCTGGTGCTCACAAGAGCCAGAATGGGTATAGGACAGACTAGGCTAGATTTCTACACTAACTGAACCATGCAAGATCTGAGTATGGGAGTGGAACAAGCAGGGATGGGTTGTAGTACCCAACAGAAGAGCTGGAATTGGTGTGAGCCAGTCAGGCAAGGCTGCTGTATCTGTAGTTAACACAGGCCAGGAGGTGGGCCAAGAAACTATCAGTGTAGATTTGCAACTGGGAGGAGATCCAATAGAGGAGCTGGAGGAACTCCTCTGTCAGGATGCAGTCCCAACAGGTTAGTGCAAGAACCAAGATTGGGAGCAGCCCAGACCAGGCAATGTTACAGTACCCACTGGCATATGTCTTGCTCAGGTCTGGGGGTGGGCCAGGTTGGGTCAGTTCATAACATCCATCGGCAGATGTGAGAACCAGGATGCACAGGGACAAGACAGGCCAGGTTGGGCCCTAACACCAGCCAGTTCACATTAGGGCTGGGTCTGGGGGCTGGTTTTGCTGGGCTAGGTGGTAGCACCCATCAGCATGAGTTGGAACTGGGAGCAGGTTGGGCTGGGCCAGGCTGCAGCAATCACCGGTGAATGCCAAGGTGAGGTGAGCTATTTCAGACTGGGTGCAGAGCACATACCAAATGGGGGTGAGGGGAGAGGAGGCAAGCTTGGTAGGGGGACTATAATGGCTCCTCTACTGGGCCACTGCTACTACTGGTGAGTCTGAGAGTTGATACTTGGGGAGGACCAGCCCGGCAGGATTATAAAATCTTTTGGCTTGCATGTGAGCTGGTTTAGGAGAGCCAGGCTAGGCTAAGCAACTGTACCCACTAGTGTACGCATGGGCCAAAGTAAGTAGAGGCTGGTCGGGCTTTGCTGCAGCATCAGCTGGCAATTGCTGGGAACGGTGGCAAGACCATAGAACCACCTGGAAAGTGCAAGATGCAGGGCAGGGAATTGGCCTAGTAGGAAAACTGTGGGTAACCCTCTGATGGGCTCAGTTCCCATTGGTGAGAACCACTGATGGGGGCAGACATACTAGGCAGGTGGTGGCACCCACTGGCATGAGTGTATGCTGCATAGTGGGATCGGTTGAACTAAGTTAGGCTCTAACACCCATTGACATGTATGAGAGCCAAATGGGATGCAGGACAGACCAGAGCAGTTTGTAGTCTGACCATGGGCTGCATGTGTTACAAATGGGCTTCCTCACTTGCCAAAGCTTATATAGCAGATGGCATTCCCAGATCCTTGTCGGGGACATGGCAGCTCATTGTGGCCTACTGAGGGCACATAGTACTATACTATGAAGGGCAGAACAAACTGGACAACTCTCCCAGCCAAGCTTTTGTAGCGAATATCAGGGCAAGTGGAGACTCTAGGGTGGACTTTGTCAACCAGTGGACCTAGGAAGGGTTTTCTCAACCTTGGAGCAATGAAATCCACAACATCTTAGAACTACTGAAACCACTTAAGCTGTCCCCTCGTAACATGCTCCACATTGGGGACCCTAGGTGACATCAAGAGGCCATTCCACATTCCCAGGTATTGATGCAGTTAGGCTGCTGGGAGCAGCCCTCAGCCCTTCTCTCCCTCCTACTCCCAGATACAGGAAGGAAAACAAACAAACAAACTTGGAAGCAATTGTGTCACCCACTTTCCCCATGCATCAGCTCTCCCCACCCTAGTGAGTGGTCCACATGGATATACACCCAACTCGACTATGTGAACATCATAAAAAAAAAAATCATTAGGAAAAAGTTGGCTGACTGAATCTGTCAAAACAATGAGAGAGAAGCCATAGAATAGGAGAAAACATTTGCAAATATTTATCTTTTTTAAAAAAGTATTGTTATTATTGTTAGTAGTAGTATTGTTATTGCAAAGTTAGATATACAGAGAGGAGAAAAGACAGAGGAAGATCTTTCGTTCGATGATTCACTCCCCAAGTGACTGCAACAGCTGGAGCTGAGCCGATCCAAAGCCAGGAGCCAGGAGCTCTTCCAGGTTTCCCATGCGGGTGCAGGGTCCCAAGGCTTTGGGGCCATCCTCGACTGCTTTCCCAGGCCACAAGCAGAGAGCTGGAGTAGCTGGGATCTGAATCGACACCCAAATGGGATCCTGGCGCATTCAAGGCAAGGACTTTAGCCACTAGGCTACCGTGCTGGGCTCACATCTGAATTTTTATAGCAGTCTTACAATTGCTGAAACTTGGATGTTGCCAAAGTGTCTTTCACTGCATGTGTAACGCGCGGTATGACAGAGAGGAATGATTGAGGACTACAAACACGTGAGCCATAAAGCCAGAAGATGACACAGAGCAAACTTAGATGGACATCCCTGAGTAAGGAATGTGATGGAAAGGAGCCTATCTGACAAGGCTATAACTACAGGATTTCAACTGTGACATCCATGGAAAGGCAAAACTATGGACACGGTAAAAATACCAATGATTGTAATCTGATGTTTTAGTTTAAACTTGAGCCCCAGATTGCTCTTAAAATAATAATAATAAAAAAACCCTAAAAAGTAGAAGTTACCATTTGTAACGTCTTGGCTGTTGGCTCTGTCCCACCTTGCAGTCTCATGGTCAGGGCGTTGACCATCACTGCTCAATGTTTCCCTATTTCTAGCAGTACCTGTGGCAGCCGGCAGAGGGAGCGTGTAGTCTGAAGCCATTCCAAATAAAACCCAGTGAGAGCGACGTGACCCAGCTCCCTTTATAAAGAGCCCTTTTACGTGTTTATTTTCCGTTTGGATGTGAAGGGCCCGGGAATGGGAAGCAGCAATAAAGACGTGTGCGGCGGAACAGGTTGAACCTGCATCCTCCATAGAGAGAAAAACTGATTTCCGGCACTGAGAAATCGGCGCAGTAGGCTCGGAGCTCCCGCGGCTGTGGTGCCCAAATAGCGGAGAAAAAGTACTTAGGACAGAGGCCGCGGTGCGGGATTCGGGTTCCGGAGAGCGTCACGCACGCGAAGAGAACATTCTCGCCGATGCCTCCCGGACGTGGCCAGGAGCACACCGACTCGCCGGCGCCTCAGGAAGCTCTGAGCGGTCACGTGCGCAGGCCTCGCGCCCAGGCCCCGCCCCTTCCGGATCCCGGAGCGTGCGCGCGTCCCCAGACGCCCGGCGGGAGCGCGCGCGTCGCCTGGCGGGGGCGCGCGCGTCTGGGAACTCGCGACCTGCTGAGCGCTGGGGGCCGGAGACGCGTGTCGGCGGGCTGGGTGAGGGAGAGCCCGGGGCGGTTACGGGGTTCGGGAGTCATCGAGGGGCGACGGGACGGGGCCGGGGGGCCTTCTGTGGCGGCCGCGGCCCGCGTGGTGGCGGGGCGGGCAGCGCAGCGCAGCGGCCCAGGTGGGGGGTGGGCCAGGCGGGGGGAGGGGCGGGACCCGGGCCCGGGTGGTTGGCGGGTCGATCGGGAGGTTTGCGTCCTGGACTCTGGGGTTGGGCACCGGCGTGGGCTCCGGAAGGAGTCGGCGGGCTAGCTTCCGTGTTGTGGTTGGGTCTCTGTGAAAGTCCAGCTGCAGGGGAAAGGGCGCCGGTGGAGAGGTTCAGAACGCTTCCGGGGTTCCTGCACTGTAAAATTGAGATCCTGTTCAGGGGAGGGGCCGGCTGTCACTGGAATGGGTTAGCTTTGGGTGGGCAGCCGCCGCGGAATGCAAGATGTGTGCGGGTGGCGGCTGGAGGCAGGTGGGTGGCGCGCTTTGCAACTGTTACTGTGTTGCGAGGATCTTCCAAGCATCAGGTTGCTTCTGCATAGGAAACTCACGTTGCTGTGTGAAGTTTTGTGCTTCTGCATAACTAACTTACTAACTGACTAACTAACTCTCTCTTTCTGCTGAAAACTCCCAGACCACGAGTGGAGGGTGTTGTCAGCGCCCCTAGGTGCTGTGTGGTGCCTTGTTGGAAAGGTGCGGGGACTCCAGTTCAAGACGCCAGGATTCAGCAATTGCTCTTTCTGCTGTTATCTTTAAACGGATCTTAAATCTCCAGGAGAATTTGAAATACATGAGTGAAGAGCTGCTGCAGTTTAAGAGGTAATGTTGTAGGCCTGCTGTTTGTTATTGAGTGTTTAGGAAGGGCAGGTACCTACACGAGGTGATGGGAACGGGCCGCTGAAATAGCAGGAGAGAGGAGCTGGTCTAACCCCTTTGCGTCTGACAGGAGTTTGATGCCTGGCACGATGAGGTTTCCAGAATGTCCCTGAGCAGTAGTGGCTGATACGGGGAAAGGGCTGGCGTCTTGACTGTCCTGTTGGCCTGTGCTTGTTAGCCCGTTCAGTGGGAATAGGAGCCAGGTGTGTGTGAAGTGGTTTGAGTTCACTCCGAGGTCCTGTTAGCATTCAGTTCTTTGATCTCAGCTTTCTGCTCGAGTCCAGACATTTCCCTGTGGCATGCTCCCTGAAATGGTGTGTTTTCTGAAGATTCGCAGTGTTGTTCAGTTATTACAGGAAGAACAGTAGCATCACTTTCGTGATTATAAGGATCAGGCATACCGACAAAAGACGGATTTCCCACAGACTTTGTGCTTGTCACGCAGGAGTTTATGTGGACTAATAGTCTTATTAAGCTCCTTTGCATAGTTCTCTCAGCCCCCAAACTTACTTGTTTATCTGAAATGCTGAGTTGCACAGAAAGAGGGGGAGAGAGATGATGCATAAACTGGTTTATTCTCCAAATGGCTACAATGGCCAGGGCTGCGCCAGGCTGAAGCAAGGAGCCAGGACTTCTTGCAGCTCTCCCATGTAGAGGTCCAAGCACTTGGGCCATTCTCTGCTGCTTTCCCAGGCACATTAGAAGGAACCTGGATTGAAAGTGGAGCAGCCAGGACTCATCCTGAGGCATGTGTTGAAAGCAGAGGCTTGGGACCAGCGTGGTAGCCTAGCAGCTAAAGTCCTCGCTCTGATTGCACTGGGATGCCATATAGGTGCCGGTTCTAATCCCGGTAGCTCCACTTCCCATCCAGCTCCCTGCTTGTAGCCTGGGAAAGCAGTCGAGGATGGCCCAAAGCCTTGGGACCCTGCACCTGTGTCGGAGACCTGGAGGAAGCTCCTGGCTCGTGGCTTTGGATTGGCATAGCACAGGCTGTTGTGGTCACTTGGGGAGTGAATCATCGGATGGAAGATCTTCCTCTCTGTCTCTCCTCTCTGTATATCTGACTTTCCAATAAAAATAAATAAATCTTCCAAAAAAAAAAAAAACAAAGCAGTGGCTTAACTCGCTGTATTATAACTCTGTCCCCTTTGCCTAGATTAAATTGAGATTTTATACATGAGACAAGTGTTAAGAAGGTGGGTTAACAGGCAGACTCAGTTCTCAGTAGTCTCAGGTTGAACAAGCTGCTTACTACCTTTGATCCCGGTTTGATTATGGATAGACTAGGGGTAGTCCTTGTAACAATTCGCACAGTTTTAAGAATTGATTAGTTTCTGTGTGTGTCTGAGCTTACCTGAGTTTGTAGCATAAGCATATTTTTGTGAAAGAAAAATAACAAGTTGCTTAAAAAAAGTTGCAAAAGAAATATAATTATAGTAGCTTACAGGTGTGTGAAGTTTTAAGTTGTGGACCAAGTTCTGCTTATTGTGTAATGTTTGAATTTTATTTCATGAGTCTGTAAATGGAAAGTGTAAGAAATTTATGATTTTAGGTTTTAGCATGGAAACTTCAGGCAAAAGGAGCCCCTGTCGGCGGAGACGCAGTGATGCAGGGCGGGACGAGAGCTGCTGAGTTGTATTTTGGTTGTGACTGGCAGATAAGAACACTCCAGATCCTTGGGATTTCTGTGTTTCTGTCTCAAATGCCTGTGTTTGTCCAGGGCGCCTGTGGGAGTAGAGAATGGATTCCTTGGACCATATGCTGACGGATCCCCTGGAACTGGGTCCCTGTGGAGCTGACCATGGCTCCCGCATTATGGAGGACTGCCTGCTGGGAGGTGCCAGGGTTAGTCTGCCCGAGGACCTTCTGGAAGATGTGAGTACCAACAGCCTTGCAATCCCATGTTTTCTCTTTCAGCTTCTCATCAGCAGCCATCCCATGCTGTTTATATATGATATATACACTACGTTATAAGCTTTTGTGCTTTTTGTTTCAATTTCTGCGTTGTAGGCAGAGCATTCTTTAGTGTGTGGTATCTGATGAGTGCTTTGATTAAAGAAGAAAATATAAAGTGTGTTCTGTATATTTAATAATGTTTCAAAATAATTCAACAATGTGATGTAGACTATTAAAAACAGTGGGGTGGGAGGGCTGGCACTGTAGTATAGCGGGTAAAACCCCCACCTGTGATGCCGGCAGTCTTTGGAGTCCCAGCTGCTCGCTCCACTTCTGATCTAGCTCCCTTCAGCACATCTTGGGAAAGCAACAGAAGATGGCCCAAGTGCTGTACCCGCTTGAAAGACCTGAAAGAAGCTCTGGCTTTGGGCTGGCCCAGCTCTTGTCATTGCAGCCATTTGGGGCATGTGCCAGTGAATGGAAAATCTCTCTTTCCCTATTTCTGTAAATCTGCTTTTCAAATAAAAATAAAAAATCTTGGGCCTGAAGCAGTGGCCTAGTGGCTAAAATCCTTACCTTGCATGTGCCAGGATCCCATATGGGCACTGGTTCTTATCCCGGCAGCTCCACTTCCCATCCTGCTACCTGCTTGTGGCCTGGGAAAGCAGTTGACGAGGCTTTGGGACAGCCCAAAGCCTTGGGACCCTGCATCTGTGTGGGAAGGAACCTGGAGGAAGTTCCTGGCTCCTGGCTTTGGATCGGTTTAGCTCTGGCCATTCTGACTGCTTGGGGAGTGAATCAATGGATGGAAGGTCTTCTTGTGTGTCTCTCTTCCTCTCTTTATATCTAACTTTCAAATAAGAATAAATAAGTCTTTAAAAAAAAAAAAAAAGCCAGAACTTAGTTCAGGTCTCACGTGGGTGGCATTCATCGCTGCTGCCTCCCAGAAAGTGCTTTAGCAGGAAGGCTGGGTCAGGAGCTGGAGTTCAAACCCAAGCTTTGCTATAAAGGACACTGGTCTTTTTTCCCCCCCGATACTTAACATTTATTTAAAAATTGACAAGCAAACAAAAACCTGTACAAAGAATATGCAGAATCATTCATCACTCTGCAACAGTAATCATGAGACATGATCACCTGGGACCCCCTGTCCTTTGCCACGTCCTGGTCCTCTGCCTCGGCCTCTTGCTGCAACAGCTTGCCCTTTTCTTAGATTTCACCTTGGGTTCAGCATCCGCAAGTAATGTGTCCAGAGGTAAGCTGACTGGCAGAATAAAATATCAAATGTTGTTTCCTTGGATGCTCAGTGTTTCCAGCTGCACGGTCTCTCTGTTCTTCAGAGTCATTTTCACAGCTTTAAGATGTGTATTCATGCTGACATCAAGACCTGTGAGAGTTCCATGGACCTGTGCTCCATTCTCCGGTGATTACAGTTTCATGACTCAATTTCATCAGAAATCAAGCCCGGACCGACTAGGGGACTGAAGGGCCGGAAGCACCTACTGCAGGAGCTCAGGAATCTCCTGGTTCCTGACTTCAGTTCAGTTCAGCTCTGGCCGTTGTGACTGGGAGATGAACCAGGGGATGGAAGATCTTTCAGTCTCTCCTTCTTTTAAATGGACTTTTCCAATAAAATAAATATTTTAAAAAGGACTGAAATTGTGTATTATATATTAGGTATGTCATGCTTCACATTTGAAAGCTTATTTTCCTGTTTTCTTTCTCCCAAATTCTCCTAGCCTGAGATATTCTTCGATGTCGTCAGCCTGGCAACCTGGCAGGAAGTGCTAAGTGACTCCCAGCGTGCGCATCTCCAGCAGTTTCTGCCGCACTTCCCCGAGGACAGCCCTGAGCAGCAGCATGAGCTCATCCTGGCCCTGTTTAGTGGGGAGAACTTCCGCTTTGGAAACCCGCTGCACATCGCCCAGAAGCTTTTCCGAGGTCCGTGGCTCAGTGCTCTTTTTCTAAGGGAGGAAAACATTGTTTTCTTCCTTTTATTCTGTTTATTCTCATGTACACAAACTGACCCAGTGTAGAGTGGGTTTGTATAATACTTGGCCTCCTAGACTTTTTTTTTTTAAGATTCATTTATTTTTATTGGAAAGGCAGATATACAGAGAGGAGATCTTTGTTGGTTCACTCCCCAAGCTGTCACACTGGCAGGAGTTGCGCCGATCTGAACCCAGGAGCCAGGAGTTTCTTCCGGGTCTCCCATGTGGGTGCAGGGTCCTCGTGCTTTGGGCCGTCCTCTGCTGTTTTTCCAGGCCACAAGCAGGGAGCTGGATGGGAAGTGGAAAAGCCGGGATAGTGGAGTAGCACCTATATGGGATCCCGGTGCATGCAAGCAAGGACTTCAGCCACTAGGCTACTGTGCCAGGCCCCCTAGACTATTTTATAAAAACAAATTTCATTGACTTGAAAATTCATCATATAAATTTAGCTGTAAAATCATTGCTGGATCAATATGCGCATTAGAACATCTCCACTGTATTATTTATGACCAATAGGTAAAAGTTTTTATAAATAGTTTGTGGTTTGCTCTTTTACCTATGTATCTACATGTGTTTGCACACATACACTTAACTGCTAAGCACTTCAGCATGTGTGTCATCTTAGCGTGGATGTTTCTTTCACTTACTCTTAGTCCTGTAGTCACAGCCAAGAAATTTTACATTGGACAACTGCTGTCATGGATGTCGTGTTCAGATCTTCTTGGTTGTTCTTAAAATATCTTTTCTGTTCAGGGTTAATATGTGGCGTTGGTCTCTTTAGTTCTTTTGGTAGGGCCATCTGCCTGTTCTTACTATGGCTATTTTTTAAGACCCTGACGTTCTTGAAGAGCTCAGGACATGCAAGTCATACAATGTTTGGCTTTCTGGGAGTCTGTCTTTTTCCTTTCAGTTAGATGTGTTCAATGCTGTTGACAGGGACGTTAAGTGTTCAGTGTTTCTCCCATCACGTTATCTGAAGGGACATATGGTGTCCGTTTTTTCCATTTGGTGTGTGCCTTGCTTGATCACTTGGCTAAGTGGCATCTGCCCGATCTCTTGATTTTTAAGGATTTGTTTATTTCTTTTGAAAGAGGGACAGGCACATAGACAGATCTTCTGTCCACTGGTTCACTTCCCAGATGGCTGCAGTGGTCAGCTCTGGGCCAGGCTGAAGTCCAGAGACTGTTCCAGGTCTCCCATGCGGCGGCAGGGGCTTAAATACTTGGACCATCCTCTGCTGCTTTCTCAGGCACATGAGCAGGCAGCTGGATCTGAGGTGGAGCATCCAAGACACAAACTGGCTCCCATAGGGGATGCTTTGTGGGAGACCAGGATGGAGTTCCAGGCTTCTGGTGTTGGTGGGCATTTAGGGAGTGGATAAGTGAAAGGCATATCAATTCTCTTTTTGGCTTTGCTTTTTAGGTGGTTGAAAATAAATAATTAAAAATAGTAAAATTAGTGTTCCCAAGGTGTTGTGACTTGGTGGGTTAATCCCCAGTTTGGATACTTTAATCTCATCTCTGAATGCTTGGAATTGGCTTCAGCCTCCACTTGTGGTCCAGTTTTTGCTGATGTGTATCCTGGAGGGTAACTGGTGATGGCCTGATGCTTGGGTTCCTTCACCCATGTGGAGACCCAAATGATGTTTCTGGCTCCTGGTTTTGGCTTGGCCCAGCTGCAGCTGTTGCAGACATTTGAGGAGTGAACCATTGGATTAGATTCTCTGTCACTCTTTCAAATAAATCATTTCTTTCATCTTAATATTGGCATCCACTCCTTAGATGGGTGATGAGTTTGAGGAGGAAGTCCCCTCATGGCTGGCTGAGGGTCTTAGATGAGAGTACACAGTCCGGCAGGGCAGAAGGGAGAGAGCCCTATTTGGCCTTCGAGGGACTATGGGAGGGGCCTCTGTTGGAGGGTATTAGTGTTGTCTGTTGTGCTGGTCCCAGATGCTGTGGCATTCAGGTGAGGCTGTGAACAGAACCTCAGGGCAGGAGTTTTACCTGACCAGTGCCCCGTTTCAGTTCCAGCTTGACAGAACAGTTTATTGCCTGCCTCTTAAACGTCTCAATTTTCACTATCATTGCTTTTCCTTTCATTTTGGTTCTCTTTTATGAAATTCCCCTAAATACACACTTCTCCTTTAATTTGTGTGAAATAAAGTTCTACGTATGACTGATACATTTGCTACTCTAGCTCTTTCTTTTCCCCCCAGATGGACATTTTAACCCTGAGGTGGTCAAGTACCGACAACTATGCTTCAAGTCGCAGTACAAGCGATACCTCAGTTCTCAGCAGCAGTATTTCCATCGGCTGCTGAAACAGATTCTTGCTTCCCGGAGTGTAAGTAACTAGCAACTGGCAAAGCACGTGGGCAGTGACCTCACAGCTACTGTGAATTCACGCGTCGGTTCAGGACAGGCCATATTGGCCTGGTGGTGAAGAGGCCCTCATGGTGTGTGCAGCCTTGCGTGGAGCGCCTGGGTTCGAGTCCTGGCCCACTCTGCTCCTAATTTCTGCTTCCTGCTGATAGGCCCTCTGGAAGGCAGTGCTGACGGCTGCCACCCATGGGAAGGACCAGAGTTGACTTTCTGGCTCCTGGCTTCAGCCTGGGCCAGCTGTCATCATTGGGGATATTAAAGGAGTGAAGTAGCAAATAGGCAATATTTAACTTTCTCTTTCAAGAAAATGAGAAAAAAAGGTTCTCAGCTAAGCTACAGCACAGTTAAACTGTCACCTTTTTTCTTTTTTAAAGATTTATTTATTTTTATTGGAAAATCAGATATACAGAGAGGAGGAGAGAGAGAGAGGAAGATCTTCCGTCCGATGGTTCCCTCCCCAAGTGACCACAACGGCTGGTGCTGCACCAATCCGAAGCCAGGAGCCAGGAACCTCCTCTGGGTCTCCCACTCTGGTGCAGGGTTCCGAGACCTTGGGCTGTCCTCGACTGCTTCCCCAGGCCACAAGCAGGGAGCTGGATGAGAAGCAGAACTGCTGGGATTAGAACCGACGTCCATATGGGATCCTGGCGCGTTCACGGTGAAGACTTTGGCCACTAGGCCACCATGCTGGGCCCAATAAGTGTGTCTTGAAAAATGAGTACAACAATGATGAAATCTTTTCTTATGATGGATTTATGAATGTACCCCAATTAGAGGTTTTTTTTTTTTAAATTTGTTTTACTTTTATGGGAAACACAGATTTATAGAGAAAGTCTTCTATCCAATGATTCACTACCCAAATCGCCCCAACAGCCAGAGCTGATCTAATCTGAAGCCAGGATCTTCTTCTGGATCTCCCACATGGATGCAGGGTCCCAAGGACTTGGGCCATCCTCTTCTGCTTTCGCAAGCCAGAAGCAGGGAGCTGGATAGGAAGTAGAGTTCCCAGGACACGAGCCAGTACCCGTATGGGATGCCTGCGTTTGAACGGGGAGAATTAGCCATTGGAGTCAACTGTGCTGGCTTCCTTCAGATATTTTTTTAAAATATGGGAAAAAAGTGTTTATTAAAATTGATGAAATGCAGGGCCTGGAGTGGTGGCCCAGCTGCTAAAGTCCTTGCTTTATACAGTACATGCCAGGATCTCATATGGGTGCCAGTTCTAATCTCAGCGGCCATGCTTTCCTTTAGCTCCCTGCTTGTGGCCTGGGAAAGCAGTTGAGGATGGCCCAAAGCCTTGGGATCCTGCATCTGCGTGGGAGACCCTGAAGAATCTCCTGGCTCCTGGCTTTGGATCGATTCAGCACTGGCTGTTATGGTCACTTGGGGAATGAATCATCGGACGGAAGATCATCTTCTCTGTCTCTCCTTCTCTCTGTGCCGGAGTCCAGCTCCAGCTGAGCTCGGAACTCGCGAAGGGTGCATGGATGAGGTGTAAAGAGGAAAGAAAGAGACGGACCACTAGGATTTCATGATCATAATGGACCATGCATGAAAGCTGTCCGCTTTATTTATACAAAATCAGTCAAATTCTGGCTCAGACTTTTTACCAAGTGGGTGTTTCTAAGGATAATTCTGCCATTAGTTTTACCTAGAAACAATAGAAGTTCCTGCTAACATTACCTAGAATTTGCTGCTACGATTCTTATCCTACAACTCAATCTTGTACCACAAAGAAAAGGGGAACTTAAAGATCAAGGAAAGAATGAAAGCCTAAATACAGGTCCCTTGATTAGCAAAGGTTCAATGGGGACAGCCAAGACAATAGGAATGATAAAAGGCCCCATATGCAAGACATTGATCTCCAAGCTCAGGCTGAGCAAAAGGTTAACCTCGCTGTAGCAAATGCCAGGATGGATTAGAATTCTTCCGCAGGGTGGTCCAGTGTCCATGCAAAAGAAGGTGGAGCTGCATTCAGGTGGTTGTAGAGACATCTGCCGGGTGGGCCCTGCCGAACAGCCGGAAATTCCTTGCGGCCCTGCCTGCAATGGAACACTCTTGACCCCCTCATGTCCCCCACATCTACTGCATGGACCCCAGCATCTCTGTACATCTGACTTTGCAATAAGAATAAATCTTAAACAAAATGGATATAATACAGTAGCTTTGATGTTTACTAAGATGAATGGATTTCAGATCCCTCATAGGTTGTTAAGGAAACTTTGCTTGGAATTGAGATGCGTGCAGGTTCAAATCGGCCACGAGTGATGTAATGGGGTGAGCATGCCCTGTTTCTTGGTTGCCTGGGTCAGGACTAGACAAATTTTTAGCAGCAATGTTGTCCTGACTTGAAGTGGTCTTTTAAGTTTCGTTGTAAAGGTACTTGGATCTCTCAGTGTCAGTGCTCAGTGGGATAATTCAGCATTTAGAATTTGGATGTTTGATCTTAGGATGCTGATTGAATATCCCTTCCCTGAAATGCTTGGGAATAAAAGGCATTTCTGGTTTTGATATTTTTTTTATCCTTATTATTTGCCTATACATGAAATACATTGGGATGAATGCAAATTTACACTTGAAATTCATTTATGTTTTGCTTTTTATATATATAGCCTGAAGGTAATGCTCTTAAAAGATAAATTTATTTTAAAGGTTTATTTCTTTTTATTGGAAAGGCAGAGCTACAGAGGAGGAGAGACAGAAAGATGTTCCATCTACTGGATCATTCTCCAAATGGCTTCAATGGCTGGTCCCAAGCCAAGAACTTGCTGATCTTCCACATAGATGCAGGGCCTCCAGGACTTGCTGCTTTCCCAGGTTATAAACTGGAAACTGGACCCGAATTGGCACTCATATGGGCTCCTGGTACCACAGGTGGAGGCTTAGCATGCTTTGCCACCATGCTGGTCCTTGGAGGTAATCTTATAGTTATTTTAGTATACCTGTGCTTTGACTGCAACCCACTGCATAAGATCAGGGGTAGAATTTTGCATTTATAATATCATGTCAGCACTGAGGAGGCCTCACCTTAATAATCTGATATCTGTTGATATTAGAGGTGAAGAGAAGAGTGAATGCCTATAGTGACTGGCTGGGCCAGGCTGAAGCTTGGAGTCAGGAACTGTGTCTCCCATATGAGAGTGACAGGAATCCAAGTTCTTGAGTCACCTCTGCTGCTTCAGAGCTAGAGTGCGCCTTAGCCAGGAGCTGGACTGGAAGTAGAAGCAGAACTCAGCATCCTAAGGGTGACTTCACCCGCTGCGCCACAGCACCTGCCTGATTCTGTGTTTGCAGCTTATGGACACTCAACTTGTAATCGCAAAGACCCTTTTAGTTTGGCCTCCTTTTGTGTGATTAGAAGGAAGGAATGGGGCTTACCACTGAAGAACAGGACAAGAGTGAAATGACATAGTACACCTCATCTGCTCCTCTAGGATCTGCTGGACATGGCCCGACGGGGTGGCCCGGCCTTCCCTGTGCGGCAGAAGCGGCCCTCACCATCCCGCAGCCCGGAGGAGCGCGAGTGGCGGACTCAGCAGCGCTACTTGAAGGTCTTGAGGGAAGTGAAGGAAGAGTGTGGGGACACAGCCCTGTCCTCTGATGAAGAAGGTGCGTGTCCTTTGGCACTGGGGCTAGCTGGGGTTGGTTTATGTCGGCTGCTGACCTCTTTGGAGCCAGGGCTAGCCTCCTGTTTCTCCAGCATTGTTTAGTGTGGGGTGGATAGTGGAAATAGAAACCTTGGGCTTTTGGGTTGCTGGGACATTGCTGTTAGTTGGTAGTAACTCCGTGTGTTCATGTGGCGTTCACGTTTAGAGAGGACCTATTGATTGAACCCCTGCATGGCAGGGTTGTCTTCACTGTAGCCCTGTGTGGGCCCATGGTGCCACTTGAGAGAACTGCTTTTCCCCTTACAGGCGAGTAGTAGTGACTGTTGGCCTGCTGCAATGGGACCCCGTCACTCTGTTGAAGTCTGTCTTCCTGGAAAAGCCGTTTAGATGACCTAAGTGTGCTCCAGCTCATCTGGGGAAGGGTCAGAAAGGAGTGTGGAATCCTGGCCTCCATGTTGGTGGTTTAGCCTTGTTGAACCCAAATGGCCACTTACCCAATCTCCCCTATTGGAGTCCACAGCCACGTTGGATTTACAAGAAAAATTTTCTTTTGAAGATCTCAGCTCATGGCTTCCGAGCTCTCCAGCACGTTCTCCTAGTCCTGCGGTGCCCCTGAGGGTGGTGCCCACGCTTTCTACCATGGATATGAAAACCGTAGGTGAGCACTCAGCCACTTTGGCATTCTTGGAAGTCAGAGTGTAGATCTGAGAGCACGCATAGAGGGAGGTGGGAACTGGATTCGTACTGGCCAGGAAGATAACAGTGCTCCCTAGAATTAAGCCATTTGGAGAAGTTGTCGTACCATTCCACATTTTTGCCTCTGGAGGTAGGCCTTTCTTTATCTTGTCTTTGCCTTGAAAATTATATGCTAAATAAAGCAAAATCTTAGACTAACAATATTAGTGGACAAAGGGTAGCAAGAACTGAAGCAATTCATTAGAATGTCTGAAATGAGGAAGAATTTATTTGGAATAAGAAAATTATTTGGAATAAGAACTAAAGAAGAGTGTGAAGAACCTTGAAGTTTCAGAGCCAGCCGAATCATGAACTGATCGGCATATAGAACAGCGGACATGTTGATCCTGTGGCTGATTCAGGATTTTAGTACTTACAGGTATACAGGAATCAGAAAGGAAACTCAGAGCTATCTTAGTTTTGAATTTCACAAGTGACCAGAAAGATGTAAAGTGGTGAGAAAGATGTAAATTGGAGCACTGTGATGTAGGATAACCTAGTCCATAAGGTTTGGTTCATTTTCTCTTAGATAAAATAGAACTGGGGGACAGTGACCTGAAGATAATGTTAAAGAAGCACCATGAGAAGCGGAAATACCAACCAGTAAGTTTGGGAGAGGGTGTGGCCTTGAATGGTTTTCAGTCTTATGGCTGCCCTGAGGAAGATAGCAGAGTTGCTGTAGGTTTCTTATCCTTGATGGGGGACAGGAGCAATAGGAGAGGCTGGATTGTGTTAGAGGTGTGGGATGTCAAATACTTTGATTTTACAGGGCATTCTCAACAGTGTCTGCTTGTTCCTTTGTGAGGACACTGTTCTGTCCTTTTCCTAGTGCTCAGAGAAGTGAAAGACTTGCCCTGGATCCTGCAGACAGAGGCGGCAGAGCCAAGTCAGATGCTTTGGGCTTCTCACTTGACTTTGCATTACTCTGTGCTACCAAATCAGGGTAGGGTCAAGGCAGGGAGTAAAGACAGCACAGTGTGTCTAAGGCAGGAGTGCTGAGAAAGAAGAATCCTACAGGGGATCTGGAACTGAATTCTCTTTCCTGCATACTGGAATACTAGACAGATCCTCAACATCTCTGTACTTGCATTTTCAGCTCTTGAGATGTATAATACTACGCAACAAGACTGTTAGTAGTTGAGATGAGGAATGAGAAGAGCTTTATGAACTGTAAATGCTGTGTAGTAGAAAGGTTGAAACTGGCTCATCTTTGCCACTGTAAGGAAGAGGAGCAGCAGTTTTTATCTGTGCCTTTTAAAAAGATTTATTGATATATTTTGAAAGAATTTACAGAGAGAAAGGTCTTCCATCCTCTGGTTCACTGAAGTGGCTGCAATGGCCAGAGTTATGCCATTCCAAATCTAGTAGCCAGGACCTTGTTCCAAGACTCCCATATCCTTCACTGCTTTTCCAAGCATATTAACAAAGAACTGGATCAGAAGTAGATACCCAGAACTCGAACTGCCACCATATGGGATGCTGAGGCTTCCTATGGCAGCTTTACGAGCCCACAAAGCCAGCTCCTATCTCTACATTTTATATTGGAGTATGATTTCCTTAAGTGTGCATAGTGTCTAATTATATATGGTAGAGAAATTGGTGAAGTCACCATCAGTTTGTTGATCCTCTTTGAGCCTTGGTAACCAGGTCACTGAATGTCACATCTAGGATCACCCGGACCTTTTGACAGGGGACCTGACTCTCAATGACATCATGACTCGCGTGAATGCTGGCAGGAAAGGCTCCCTAGCAGGTACATTTCTGTGGGTCCCCTCAGGTAGCTTTCACTTCATTGGAATGTTGTGTTAATCTCTGTGGCCTATCTACATGCTTTTCTGATGATGATAATCTTTGTTTTGTTATTGCCTCTTAGGATTGATAGGTGGAAAATGAATTTTAAGTTAGTGCATTATACAATTGGACTTTTTAATAGATGCTAAAATTAATTTCTGAGTCACTGGTTGAGTTTCATTTTATAAAAACTGTCTTATTATTGAGACACTTATGCTTTTCTGTCTTTGGCGGGTGGGGGGAGCTTAGGCCTAATGTGAAAAGTACAGTCCTTTGACTGGGTAACCTTTTGTTCTAGCCTTATATGATCTGGCAATCCTTAAAAGAAAGGTTAAGGAGAAAGAGGAAAAGAAAAAGAAGAAAATAAAAACGATCAAATCAGAAGCAGAGGATCTGGTTGATTCCCTGAGCACTGCTGATGCTGTCCCGCCTCTCTCTCAGGCCCCATCTCCACTGGCAATACCTGCCATCAAGGAAGAGTAAGTGAGCATCAGAGACCATGTAATACGTAGGATGGAAAGACAAGCCCAGAGCACTGCCCACTCTCCTGGGCTTGTATGAGCTGGCTGTAAGGGTGTTAGCTCTCTCTATTGGCCCATAAGCATCAAGTTCCAGGGATCCTGTTGGGAGAATGTGTTGGGTGCTACTTTTAAGACATTTTATGACTGCCAGGTAATTTGGTGGGGGGCTGACCTAATGTAGGGGTATGCTTGTCTTCTGGTGGTTCTCACATGTTTCTTCCTTCCTAGGCCCCTTGAAGACCTCAAGCATTGCCTTGGATTCAATGAAATATCTTCCAGCTTCTTTTCCTTGCTGTTAGAGATCTTACTGTTGGAGAATCAGGCTAGCCTTCCTATGGTAATTTTGGAAGTCACATGTGCACCAAAGTTTTCAAATCATTCAAATCCCTAATGATGCACAGTTTGAGAGGCAGCACTCTGCTGACTCCCCTAACCTAGTTTGTGAGTTGGGCAAGTTGACCATGCATCATTCATGGACTTGCTGGCATTCTAATTGGGTTCTCCCTTTTCTTCCTCAGCTAGAGGAACGGGTTTTGGATTGGCAGTCATCTCCAGCCAGCTCCCTCAACAGCTGGTTCTCTGCAGCCCCCAACTGGGCTGAATTGGTGTTACCAGCCCTGCAGTATCTGGCTGGAGAAAGCCGAGGTAAGATCAGCTTGACTCGTCTAGTCCATTTTGCATTTGTGTAATTCTCTGCTATTTGTGTAATTTGTGTAATTCTCTGCTATTAGGAAGCAGTCATTCAAAATCCTGCCCGGTGCTCTGTGACTTGTCAGTTTAACCCTCTCTGACCTGTGTGGCTTATTGCACTATTCATTTTTTTACAGCTGTTCCTTCCAGTTTCTCTCCATTTGTTGAATTCAAAGAGAAAACCCAGCATTGGAAATTGCTTGGTATGTATGTGTATTCCAAAATAGGTTTTTTCAAACTGTTTCTATAGGTTTCTTCTAGCTTTTGATCAGTATAGTCCAGCAGATGAGCCTAAAAGAATCTACTAGCCCTTATTTGCTCTGTGAAAGGATGTGTCAGGATGCCTTTTGTACTCTGAAGGTGTGAGTTTTAGCACCTTCCATTGTTTCACTCAAATTGAGGTGGAATAGTTCCCCTGTTCTGATGCTGGTGATGGCTAAAATTTTTTAAGGATTTGTTTATGAATTTATAGTGCAGAGTGACCGAGGATTTTTTTGTTTTGAGCTCTAAAGATTTGTTGTTGTTGTTATTATTATTATTATTTGAAAGGCACTTGGGGAGAGGGAAAGGGAGAGATTTTTCGCTTCCCCAAAACCTGCATAATCTGGACCTAGTCTCTACATGGGTGTGACAGAGGCCAGGCTACTTGGGCCGTTGGATATATAAATAGGAAGCTGGATCAGAAGCAGAGGTACTGAGACTTGAAGCAGCTGAATTTAAAGTTGTAGAGGTATTTTGTTAACATTTATATTAAGCCAGTGATTTGAGGTTAAATTGTAATTGTAGTTATTTTTCTTTCCTCAAAATTTGTTTTTACTGTTGAGATTATGTTGGGTAGACCCATATAAACTATTTCTAAATAATAGAATTTTTAAAAAAGATTTATTTTTTTTTTCTTGCAAAGTCAGATAAAAAGAGAGGAGTAGAAACAGAGAAGAAGATCTTCCGTCCGATGGTTCATTTCCCAAGTGACTGCAATGGCTGGTGCTGTGCCAATCCAAAGCCAGGATCCAGGAACTCCCTCCAGGTCTCACACGCAGGTGCAGAATCCCAAGACTTTTGGCCGTCTTCAGCTGCTTCCCCAGGCCATAAGCAGGGAGCTGGATGGGAAGCAGAGCTGCCGGGATTAGAACTGGTGTCCATATGGGATCCTGGCGCGTTCAAGGCAAGGACTTTAGCCGCTGGACCAGCACATCAGACCCAAGAATAGAGTCTTTAATTTTTTTTTTTAATTTATAAGGTTCCAAGTAATATATCAGTTATTAGAACCTGTATCTGAAGTAGCTTGGTGACCAGCCACCTAGCGATATTAAAAATGGATGATTCATGGCTGGTTTCCTATTGAACTTCATGGATCTTTCAGTTCTTCGGGGACTTGTATATAAACAGATCAGCTGAGAGCAGATTGTGAAAGCAGTGGATGTATTCATTTAAAAGTTCTAAAATTTTGGGCTGGTACAATGGTTCAACAGGCTAATCCTTCACCTGTCAGCACCAGCATCCCATATGGGCAGTAGCTCTATTCCTGGCTGCTCCACTTCCCATCCAGCTCCCTGGTTATGGCCAGGGAAAGCAGCAGGGAATGGTTAAAGTCCTTGGGTCTCTGCACCCATGTGGGGGACCTGGAAATGCTCCTGGATCTGGCTTCAGCTCCAGATGTTTTAGCTATTTGAAGAGTGAGTCAGTGGATGGGACTTCTCTCTTGTGTCTCCTTTCTGTAAATCTTTAAAAAAAAAGGAAAAAGAAAAAAAGATTTTAACATTTTATTTGCAAGGCAGAGTGAAACAGGCTTTCCATCTGCTGGCGCAACCCCTAAATGCCCACAGTCGTTAGGACTTAGGCCAGAGCAGATGCAGGATCTAAGACAGCCTGGATCCTCCATAAAGACTGTGAGGGACCCAGGTGCTTGAGCCGTAACCTGTAGCCCTCAGGGTGCCCATCAGCAGAAAGCTAGAATCAGAAGTAAGCTGTTGCTTGAACCCAGATGCTTCGATATGTGGTACAAGTGCCCCAAGTGATGTCTTAACGGTAGGTCAGAACACTTATCTCATATTCATTCACTCTTTGAACACCTGTTCAACTTCTAGGTATCAGGCATTTGTTAGGTGCTATGGATTTGAAGTCCTACAGCAGGCTTCCCTCATGGAGCTTAAGATTTGCTTGAAAAACATCTGTTTAAATTAAGTAGCAGTGTGAGCATTTCTATAAAGAATGGGTGTTGTAATACAGAAGTACTCTGAAGTCTCAGTTAAAAAGAGTGTTTGAGCAGCAATAAATTGTTGAGTAGGAATGAGTATGATCTATTGTGGGATGAAGTTGGAATGTGGAGGAGCATTTGAGCTGTCACTGGTCTGGGGAAGATTCAGTCTCAAAATATCAGTCACACCTACATGAAATATGGTGATAATTTAGTTCCCCTTCTATTTTTTTTAACCTTTTAGATCTATGAAAGGCAGAGCTAGAGAGCAAGAGCTTCTGTTTCCAGGTTCGTTCCTCAGATGGCCACAGTGGCTGAAGCTGGGCCAGCAATAGCTTCCTGCAGATGTCCCTGTATATATAATATATGTGGATTCAGGGGTCCAGGGACTTGGACCGTCTTCTGCTGCTGTCTCGGGTTTATGAACAGGTAGCTGGATAGGAAGCAGAGCAGCCAGATCAGCCCTGCAGGCAGTGGCTTAACCTGTTATGCCATAGTGATAAGTTATACCTGGTAGACCCCTCCAGTGTTCTAGCCCCTGGCATTGTCATCTCAGCCACTGGTTCCCACAAGCACAACTGGGCTGTGTGATGGCTTAAAGCTCCTCTATTTTCAGAATGTGTCATCCAGTGTTTCTCAAGCCTGGATGGGGATGCTTATAGCATAATGGCAGGAAATGGGTTTGTGAACAGAGGTGAATGGCTCTCTTCTTGAAGTGCCAAGAAGCAGGGGATGTGATGGAGGGGAGAGCCTCAGGAAGCAGGCTGTTTGACGTCTTTATTGGGGGTACAAGTGGTACATAAAACACTGCAAGTGCTTAGATAGTGTGCTGAACGTGGATGTAGGGTGTACTTGGGAGCCATCAGAGCAGGTAAGGTAATAGGTACATGCAACACTCCCACTTTTGAGTGTGTATGTGTATGCCCTCCCCTTTTTCTTGGGTAACTATATTTCATATGGTCATGTTACTTTTTACCAATTAAAAACTTTGCTCTCATTTGTGTATTTGAAAGGCCAAAGGGGGAAAAAAAGGCCAAAGGAGAACCCTGTGTGTTAGCTTTCTTTTTTAAAATTTTCTTTTTATTATTATCATTTTATGATGCAGTTTCCTAGATTGTAGGATTTCCCTTATCTCCTCCCTAATTCCCTCCCCTCTCACTGAGTTCCCCTATATCATTACTACAGAATAGTTCTTCATACACAGTCATATGTCCATCATTGTGGGCATGGACAATGACAAGGAGTCCAGCTTCCTATTGTCAAGATAGAGTAAACAGTTTTCATTGGGAGTCCATCTTTGTCTGGAAGTAGAGATGGAGTACTGCATTGTATCCTCACATCTGGATATGATAGTCTCCATTACACAGTTACTGTACATCCCTTAAATGAAAAACCACAATACCAAATCAACAACAGGAAGAAAATTAGAAATTTAACAATGCCGTGAGGTTAAATAACATGCTACTAGATATAACAGTCTCCATTACACAGTTACTATACATCTCCTAAATGAAAACCCACAAAACATAATCAACAACAGGAAGAGAAAAAAGAAATTAACAACACCGTAAAGTTCAATAGCATGCTACTGAATGATTAATATGTCACTGAAGAAATGAAAAAGCAAATCAAGAACTTTCTTGAAGAAAATGATGCTACTGTATAAGATATGAATCAGTGAAGAAATTAAATCGGAGGAAAGTACTTTGAAGGGATAAAACTAACCAAAAAAACAAAATCCATGATATATAGTTTCTGCTGATCTTTGTTGGTGAGATACGTCTCCTGTACGACACAAATAAATGGGTTTTGTTTTTTAATCCAGTCTACTAATCTATAACATTTGTTTGATGTGTTCAAGCCGTTTACATTCAGGGTTAATAGAAAGAGATGGTAATTTGGTTCTGTCATTTTAGCAATGGGTTGTTCATTGATTTAGCCTTCTGTTGTTATTTTCCTGGGATGTTCTTCACATTTGCCTTTGGTTTTGGTGGGTGCTATTCATTTTCTCTCTCAAGAGAACATGTTTAATTATTTGTAGAGCAAGTTTGGAAGAGGCCTATTCTTTCAACTTTTTTTTACTGTGGAATATTTTATTTCATTTTTAAAGACAAAAGAAAAGTTTTGCTGGGTCCATTATCCTGGGTCGACAATTTTTTGCTTTAAGAAGCTGGAATATGTCACTCCATTCTCTTTTTGCTTGTAGAGTTTCCTGTGAGAGATCTCCTGTGAATTTAATTGGCATTCCTTTATATGTCAGTTGATTTTTTTCATGTGGATGTTTAAGGATCTTTTCCTTATGTTCGATTGAAGAGAGCTTGATGATCATGTGTCTTGGTGAGGATCGCTTTTGATCAAGCCTTTTGGGAGTTCTGTGCCCCTCTTGGATATTGTTTCCCAGTTCTTTCTCTAGATTAGGAAAAAATTTCCCTTATTTCATTAAATACATCTTTAGACCCAGCATTTCTTTCTGCATCTTCCGGAACTCCTGTAACTCTAAAATTAGGCCTTTTAATAGTGTCTTTCAATTCTTGACTACCTTTTTTGGCCTAATCTACCTCTGCTTCCAGATATTTGTTTCCCCTTGGTGACAGAAAATATCTTCTAATTCTGAGCTTCTTTCTTCTGTCTCCTTCATTCTATTTTGGAGAATGTCCACTGTACTTTAAAAAAAAAAATTTATTTACGGGCCCCGTGCCATGGCCTAGTGGCTGAAGTCCTCACTGTGAATGCACCAGGATCCTGTGTGGGTGCTGGTTCTAGTCCCGGCAGCTCTACTTCCCATCCAGCTCCCTACTTGTGGCCTGGGGAAGCAGTCGAGGATGGCCCGGGGCCTTGGGACCCTCTACCCGTGTGGGAGACCTGAAGGAGGCTCCTAACTTTTGGCTTTGGATTGGCTCAGCTCCAGTCATGGCGGTCACTTGGGGAGTGAGCCATTGGGCATAAGATCTTGCTCTCTGTCTCTCCTCCTCTCTGTATATGTAACAATAATAATAATAAATAAAT